ATCTAGGAGAAACTTGGTGACTGGTTGAAATAATTGTTAAAAAGGAATGCAGATGGTGTGTGTTCTAAGTAGGCTTGTTAACCAGATTGGAAATGATTGTGTATGTCTCATTCTGGCTGCACAGATGCCTCACTGGGTTGGAACAGTCTCCTTTTCCACTTCTGCTACTATCACAGTCCCAGAATGCCAAAACCATTTATTTCAATTCAACAGCTCTTTATGGCGCTACAAAACACCATGTTACTGGTAAGCCGCTAACTCCTGTGCAGCCTACAAAGCCCATCCCAGAAGTCTTTATCTCCTAGAAGCCGTCTCTGATTGCTGCCACCACCACTCCCCCTTCCTCTGTAGAGTTAGTCTTTTCCCTCCTCCACATGGGCTTTGTGTCCTGCTTGGATATCTGTTTTTATATGTTCTGTAATTTTTTAAATTTTGGCCTCTCTTACTAGACTTACACCAAATGTTTGATGCCAGGGACTTGGTCTCCTTGTTTGTATTTCTAACATTCAGCATAAGGCTTTAGTAGTCACTGTAAAGTGATTAATGAATGCATGCTCTTCTGCCTCTGAGCAGGTGCTTGTTGAATGAGTGTTTACCGTGAGGAAGTAACTAGGCATTCCCATGTTAGTGCTGTAGTCAACAACATCAGTGACCACCAGCCTTTGTGAGCACTCACTAGTGGCTGCTCCTGTGACAGGAGACTTATGACAGGATCTTCGTGTCAGTTGTGCCTTACAGGCAGGTGAGCCCAGAGGTGGCTCTCGTGGACGCATTAGCTTATGCAATGCAGCCAACTCCACTTCTACCTCTGGACCCTGGCTGCACATCACTGGCAATCTTGGGACACTGTCTTTAACATCTCGGGAACCCTCCTTGTCAGTCACTTCCTTTTCATCTCACGGGAGTGAAGGACTGATGGTACATCCCCATTTCATATGTAAGGGTGGGCAGAGAGCTCTCAAAAGATGTCAGTGAAGTCCTCTAGCTGGGGCCAGATTAGCAGCCCAGATCCTGAGCCCCCTCCCACCCTACCACCTGTCGTGCTGTGTGATGACTCCTTCCAGCTTCCCAGATGGTTTCCTAAGCTTTAAGATGGACTTCCTGCTATTTTTTACTATCCCTGGTCCAGTACTGGGCCCAAAACAGATTACTGGAAGGATGCCAAACCATCCTGCACAGTGACTGCAGCCCACATACAGAATTGAGCTAAATGCACCTGTGGCAGGGAACCCAGGAAGCCTAGCTGCTGTAATGCCCAATGGCACGAACAGACCAGGCACAGCAGCCCACAGCGGGGCTCCAAACATCTCACTTTGCAGTGTTATTCTGCCCTGCTCAAGAAAAAGTACAGAGTATTCATTCATCCAGGGACAGCCTGGCCCCTGCAGATGCCCCCGAGACTGTCGGTGAAAGTGTGTGGAGTGGAAGCAGCCCTGCCAAGGAGGAGTTCAAGGAGCGTGTTGGTGGACCACCTGCCATTTGCTGCCCTTCTGCTGGCCTCCATTCTTCCACTGTGCTGGTGTTGCCGTCAGACAAGTGGAATTCAAGACCAGACCATAAGCCACCCAAAGCACCAAGGTGGTGGGGCCTGGTTTCAGATCTTGTTATGCCTGAAGACGCATTCCTTTGCCACATCACCACCTTCTCAAACATAGTAGGGTCTTTTTTCTAACCTGTTTAAACAGTCTGGTACAAGGCTGAGAAGGAATAAGGGCCAGGGTTTTAATCATGCCCAAACCCAACAAGTGCACAGAAACTTCCTCAGCTGTGTTTTGTGGAGATATACTAGGAAGAGACATGCCCATTTTCTTACAAGTCATAAAAGCAGAACTGAACTTTCAGCCTTCTGGGATTTCTGTTACCCATCTGAATCCAAGTGTGTCAGTCAGCTCTCTGTTACTAAAACAAATAACCTGGAATAGTCACCTTCTTCATAGAATAGTTTTATTTTGGCTCGCGGTTTTAAACATTCCAATCCATGATTGCTTGGCTTCATTCATTGCTTGAGGCCCACAGTGGCCTACCATGTTGGAAATGTGCAACTGAACAAAAATACCCAACTCCTGGTCAGGAAGTGAAAGAGACAGGAAGGAGCCTGGGATCTGATATCCCTGCAAAGGCAAACCCCCTCTGACCTCAAACTCACCTACATCCCAAAGGCTCCACCACTCACCAGTAGTGCCACCTGCTGGGGAACAACCTTTTAACATAAGGGCTTCTGAGGAACATTCAAGATCCAAACTGTAGCTCCAAGGCTGGGCCAAGGCAAATCCAAGAAGCAGAGAAATTCTTGCTTGGCTTCTTCTGATGCAGATGTGATCTGATTCTAGATTTCTGTTCTGTACAGTTACACTATAGGCTTTGGTGAATGGGAGATTTAAGAATCTCTTTATTGTAATATTGGAAGGGTGTAGAAGTTACTAATTTGCTCCTCTGGAATTACAAGCAAAGGTGCTTGCATTAGCCAGCCAGAAAAACAAGCAACACTTCACAGTTTCTGAATACCTAAGTAGCCCTCAGCTCTGATTGTTGATAACTCCCTTCATCATTATTTGTTGATTCTTCCTACATGATGACAGTCATCCTGCTGGGATGGGTAGGGTTGCAAAATATAAGGCTCCTCATACTGGCACAGAAAAGAGCAGTGGCCACCCAAGACCCACACTGGTATGCTACCAAGGGTCTAAAAGAACGGGTTGTTCTCAAAATCATTGAATGAAAATAAGGAGTCCCCATTCCAGGTCTTCCGACCCTACTGCTGCATGGATCTCAGGACACTCTGCCTACCCACCCCTGTGCCTCACTTGCAGAAGACTAAGCTGTACCCTAATACCCTAAATAACCTGATATATCTATGTCATCTTGAGTTATTAGACCTTCTGGATGTGAATCCAGCTCCAGATTTCCTGCCCACTTTTGGGTGGAGCATTTGTTTGTTAATCACCAAACTCAGACTCCAGGAGGCATGTCTCCTTATCAGCAGTGTGATGTTGCAAGGGGACAGCAGTGGCCTGCCTTACTTGCTCCAGTCCTGATCACACTTGGGCTTCTTCAGCAGCAAACATTGTCATTTCCTTTAAGAAAAAAGGAGAGCCGGGGATTTAGCTCAGTGGTTCCACCGCCTGCCTCGAAAGCTCAAGGTCCCAAGTTTGATCCCCGGTACCAAAAAAAGGAAAAAGAAGCCAGGACCATAGGAAATCATCATTATCATCTCTCCTTCTGCTGGGAAACTAAGGCTCTGAATATTACTTATTTTGCCCAGAGGTTCAAATAGAAGAAGAGCGAGGTAGAATGGATCCCAAACCGGGCTGCCTGCTGAATCTGGGAGGAGAGGATTTTCTTTGCTCCTTTTGTTTGTCTTTTGATGCATTAAAAGTAACACAAGTAAAGGTTAAAAGGTTTAAAAAAAAGAAAAAAGAAAAGCAGTAGGAGTGGCCCCACTAGGTGCTGCCTGTTGAGGTGCCGCACCCTCCATGTTGTAAGGACACAATCCTGGCAATGTGAGGCCCCTCCTGTGACTCCCCACGTGACACAGGGTGGGGCACAGTACATTTCCTCCGTGTGCCCTGGAGCTGGGAGCTCTGAGCCCTGAGATGACTAATTTCCTCATGCACAAGGGGGAGAGGAAAGCTGAGGGAAAATAAAATATCCGAGAAGGACGCTTTGCATTGCAAAGTCAACTTCCTGACCACGGTCCACTTCTCAGCAGCAGGTTGGCCAGCAGAGGGTGTTCTCAGAGCAGCACACATGTTTCATGTCTTTGTGTCTCTCCCGGGTGCCTAAGGCTAATTCCTTACCCTGCTGCTTTCCCTGTCACAGAGTCGCCTGTCAGCGCTTGAAAGGCTGCCTCTTTGCCAGGTATTATCTGTCTTTAAACAGGTATCTAGTTTATTGCGACCTTTAGATTGTATCGACGAACCCTTTGTCTCTCCTCTTGGGTACTGCTGTGCCATCCTAGATATCGTGGGGTGAACAGGGTATACCATGGACCCAGGATCCCAACCACCTAGCACTCCCAAAGGATTTGTCAGATATGCTTTTCAGGTCTCTGGCACAGGGAGTACCTTCGGCAGGTCAGGAGTCTGGGGATTCAGAGACATTCTGCCCTGGTGCCCTTGGCCATGTGCTAGGAGAGCAAGCTCGGTGCCAAGGTCCTGTGTTGCCATCTCAGGTGCCTGCATGGGATCACTTCAGGCGCAGCTGAGATAGAGCTGGGCTGCCAGGTCAGAGTGTCTGCTCCTCCTTTCCTCACTTCTCCTCATAAGGGAACTGGTCATCGTGATGCTAGGAGGTTGTTTCCTGGTCCCCAGACCCCCTGCCCTCTCCTGTCTTCCTTAGCTGGGCCGGCTTCCTGGCTCCCTCTAGATTTGGGAGTGCCAGGCACCACCCAGTCTGCCCTTGTTTGTAGGGAAGCCACGTTCGTTCCTTCACACCTTCTCTCTACTCGGTGTGTCAGTGTGGTGTGGTAACTATTTTCAGCCAGCAGGCACCCAGTCCCTGCCAAGCATGTGGTACCATGTTGGGGGACATCAAAAATGTCTGTCAGCTGCCTGGTTTGATTCTTCACCTTACATCTTGCCACTGAGGTAAAACTGGCACTCGTGAAGCAGTATTATTGAGTAGCTGATCATCAAGGCAAATTAGCTTATCAAAGGTCTCTGGAACTGGGGCAGAGCTGAAGGTCTAGTAGCCAAACTGCAGGATTATTGACGACAATGATGATGATGAGTGTGGGCAGGCACGGTGCTGTGTGCATTGCCAGTGTTGCTTGTCACCCTCACAGCCACATGGGAGACACTGCTGTTGTCTCCCGGTCTGGGGCCGAGGAAGCTGGTGGCTGGAAAGGTCAGGACCTGGCCCACCCTGAAGCTGTCTGGCTCCCATTCTCCCCTTCCTCACTGTCCACTGCAGAGCCTTCCATCATCAGTATCCTTTGGCAGGGCTGGAGAGCCCCGGTTGTCTCCTTGGTCCTTTGGCTGATGGCTTCATTTTCGTTTTAGGACTTCTGCCATGGGCAAGTGATGTGGCCTCCGCTGAGTGCCCTGCAGGTGAAGCTTGCCGAGCCTGGGCAGTCCTGCAAGCAGGTGTGCCAGGAGAGCCAGCTCATCTGCGAGCCGTCCTTCTTCCAGCACCTCAATAAGGTCAAGGACCTGCTGAAGTAAGTGTCTGTGGGTCGCTGGGCTAGAGCTGGGAGGAAAGGCAGTCTGTGTCTGCATCCTGGCTGTGACCTGTAGTGGGAGGATGTGGGAAGGCCAGCCGGCTGCAGATCCAGGAAAATGAAGTCGCCTGGCATGCTGATATACTTAAAATTTGAGTGGGGCTGTTGGCACGAATAATAACACATCTGGGTTTGAGCTGGTGAGTGGTCTGTTTTCTAATGTGGCACCCAAGAGCAGGAGTGGAAGTGGACATAGAAATACAGATGCCAACAAGCCTGCACAAGTGTCATTTTCAATCATGGAGTCAGAAAGGAATAAGAAGTAGGGAGAAGGAGCTGGCACAAAACTGCCCCCAGCAAATTCCAAGTGCTGCCTCTTCCACTTGCAGTCCACTGACTTAGGCACCTTCTTCAGGCACCTTCATGATGCGGCACACTAGGGACCTATGCAGGCCGCACTCTGCCAGGCCCTCAGCCGTGAGGTGCAGGCTGAGAACTGGCCAGGGCTGCACCTGGGAGGGGCCTCGGGTGCCCCTTGAATCATTTGGTTTTTGACTTTTTTAGTGATGCTGTTTGTTTCCCTTTGTGTTGACATTTTGAATTTGGCATCTGCGGTGCCCGGTTTCTTCTGGCTTCTGATCCCTGGTCCCTATCGGTGTTAATTTCTCTTGATTTTTATCCTCCTCCCTGTCTTGGTTATCTAATATTGATTAGTTATCTAGCCTCCCTCATCTACCTTCATAGCACTGATGAGGGGCTTTCGTCAAGAAACTTGCTTATACATAATGAGACACTACTGCCTCAACTCTGAACATTCTGTCCAAGGCTGCAAGAGGATGTTTAAGGAATGGAGTGGACCTGAGGCTCAGAGCTGGCTTGTCCCCGCTGATGGTTTCATGCCTGTCCACTTTGGTCACCATGCATGGCGGTCTGAGCTGGCGTGATCCCTCCTGTGAGGTGTCATATTCTCAAGCACAGCCTAAAACTCTGTTTAGAGAGAGTGGGCTCCAGCAGAGCTGGAGGTCTGGGAGGGATGCTGTTTGTTCCCGTTCTTTAGGCTGGTATGCACCCTCCTCTGCCGCCAGGGAGGCTCTGTGAGAGGCTGCTGTCTCTGACATGGATGGAAAGCTGTTGATGGCGCCAGAAACTTCCAGCTCCACACTGCAGACCTGAATTCTAGAGTCCCATGTGGGATTTTGCACTGGCTCCTCTTGTAGATGCCTCCTGGAATGTGGTGACTTGTACAGAACCCCAAGCCCTCTGTTTATAATTGGGCATTCGAAATCACTAGGTCCAGACTATCCTCACAGTTCGTCTGTGTGCAGCCTCCTGGGAGTGGAACCTACCCAGGACTTGCAAACAGTGCGGCTCCCTTCCTGGCCTGGGAAGGAGTTAGGCTCTTAGCCTTGGCACTGCTGTAGGGCCTGGCTTAAAGCTAGCATGCAGTCCATACCGGCAGCCTTGCCCAGGCGGCCCACCTCCAGGGCAAGGGTCAGGAAGAGACAGGAAGGACAACCACACCTGGGCAAAGGGCCAGTTCCATCAGTTTTCTTACTGGAGATGGGATATCCTAGGTGGTACAGAGGTGGGGATATACAGCCCTTGCTGAAGGGCAGAAGGGCCCCTTCTTCCAGGGAGCAGAGTAGGCTCGAGACGCCAGGTTGAGATTAGAGAAGCCAGTCCCTTGGCGAGTCCTCTGTCTCCTCCTCCAGATCCCATGCCAAGTCCACAGAGCAGGGGTCTGGGCTGTGGGCTCTGTGTCATGGTCTCACCCCCCACCCTACCCCGCTGGAGAGATTTGAGTTTTCTTACCAGGGGGCTGGAATGAATGGTAATTTTGCAATGAAGTCATCTGAAATTAATTCTGTGACCATAGAGCCCTACTAAATAACTTGTTCATGCATTTGTAAATACTGATAATGTTGTAATCTGGCAGTCTGTTGAGTGCCTCGTCGGTATGGAGGTAATCCTGGCCCATCCATCTTCATGGCCAATTAGCAATTAGCAGCTCCAACAAGCCAGGGCTGCTTGTTCTTTTCTCCATCTTGGGTCCTGGTTCTCATCTGAGCTTAAACTTCTTTCAGTCCTCGAGCGTCTGTGACCTATACATACCACCTGTCCTCACTGTGTGGTATGAATTTTATGTATCTCATAAATCAAGCCCTTGAATCAGGAGAATCAGGTGGCCTTGAGCACCCTGTGCATGCAGGGGACAGTTAAGTTCTGGAAAGACCACCACAGAGCATTCAGGACTCAGCTAAGACTCCACCTAGAATAGGACAGAGAGGACAAGGCAGGCAGTCCCAACAGTACCAGCGTCCATTCCTGCATGGCCCAGTGGGGAGGACTCAGCTCCATAAAAAGGAACATGTTTTAATGTGAAGCCTGCTTTGTAATGGCTACCTCGTAAGATTATATTTTGTAAAATTTTACCTTACAGGTGGTCCCCAATTTATAATGGTACAACTTAGGGGTTTCAATTTGACGTTGGTGTGAAAGCCTTTAGCATTCCATAGACACTGCAGTTCACATTTTGCATTCGGATCTTCTTTCAGACTATGAATAGGTGGTGTGATTGTCTCATGGTGCTGGGCATTGGCAGTGAACAGCAGCTCCCAGTCAGCCACAGAGGCACAAGGGGGCAACAGCTGATACTGCCAAATGCCACATGTCTAAGCTGGGCTGAGCAGTCAGTCGGGTGTATTCAGTGTACTTTCCACTTACAGTATTTCCAGTGCAGGATGGGTTTATGAGGACATGACCCTGAGTGGAGGAACTTCTGTATTGGCCACTGGGCTTACTCCTTGAGAATGGGATTTAAGAGGTGAAATTTAGATGGTCAGTGCTTTGGCACCTGTGAAGCCAGGCAGGCCTGAGTCAAAGTGGCCCCAGGCAGTGTAGGTGTATCTTGGAGGGAAGGAAGGCACTCCAGGAGGGGCAGCAGTGGGACAGCCCTGCTTCCATTTCTGCGTCTCGAAGGGCCTTACGTCCTATGCCATCTGGTGTCAGAGTAATGGTAGCTTCTCTGCTCTACTCTGGTGTGCTGGGTTTCTCAGCCTACACTGGTGACAAGGAGAAGTGGGCAGCCCCATGGTAAAGGGCCTTTGGTCTTTCATTCTTCTTCCAGAGCTATAAATGGTGCAGAGGGCTGACGGGTCCCAGAAGCGCCCATTCCCTGTGAGAAAAGCTGCCAAGGCCAGCTGGGGAAAAGCAGCTCCAAAGGAGAGCAAGGAAAGATGCTGGGTGTGGAGTCACCAAGCAGGAGGGGGTGAGAGTGAGACAGACAGCAGAGGAACAGAGATGTACGCAGCCTGCCGAGCCCCCTGGGAAGGCAGGGGACCTCCCAGGCACTGAAGACCCTGAGCCGTGGAGGCTGCACGGTTGCAGGATGCTTCAGCAACTGGAGCCACTCAGTTGGCTTTGGCTCCTAGTTAGGCAAGGATGATGGAGGAGCATTCCTGGCTGCCCAGGCCTCTGGGACTGGCATCTGCTTACCAGTAAGAGGGAGAGAGCTCTGTGGGGGCCAGAAAGATGGTCCGGCCTTGGAGATGGGTGACATTTGAAAGTGGCTAGAACTGTACATTCCCACAGCTTCACACCAAGGGACCATTGGGGAAGTGCCTCGTGGTGGATCCCCACTGTGGCCCAGGAAGGGCCTGCCCTAGAAGCACAGTGTGAGGGCCTCCGCCCCATCCTGGTAGGCTCCTACCACAGCCTTATTAGGGACACACTCCCAGATGTGAGATTACTGCACTCGTACACCAGAAACTGTGCCCTGGAGCCTGAGTCCAAGTGACCCAGGGAAGGAACGGGACCTTTTCATGGTTCCCAGCAGTTCTGCCCCTCACTGTGGGGCACGACAGTAGCAGCAGAGATTTCCAGGCTCCTGGTTAACAGTGTGCCAGGCAGATGGTTAAGGCACGGCAGCTCCCATAAGTCACCTACATACATGAATAGCATAAGCATCAATCTGTGTCCCAAGGCCACAATCCAGATGTAAACTTTTCGTGCCAGATTGAGCTCCAGACACCCCTTTTCCTTTGTTGGCCATTCAGGGTACACTGAGAAGGGTGGGTAGCCCCATGTCTCTGGCTTATTTTTCCTTGTAGAAAATCCATGAAATCCCCACATCCAGCTTTTTCCCTTCCTGGACTGTGACTTTAGGCCCCAGCCACCACCATGTCCCAGCTGCTGCAGGGCCAGGGGTGTGAGAGTTTCTAGGGAAGGGTTAGAGTGACTACAGGGACAGGAGGGACACTGCCCTCCTGCGCAGGCCTCGGTGCCTGATCTAACCAGCCCCATGACTTCCAAGCTCCAGAGACACTACCGATGTGCCAGCAAGGCCCTGGTTGCTTTTGGCACGAGGGGGCAGGCCAGGCAGCTGATTGGCTGGAGGAAGACAGCCGCAGGACTGAAAGGGAGAATGGCACTTCTCCTTCCTGCAAGCACAAGCTTCCCAGAGGCAGTGGGAAATCTTCAGTATCTGTCCTGACCTCTTCCCACACAGCACGCAGTGGGACTCTCATGAACAAAGCAGAATGGCCATGGTCTAATGTGCATGGTCTAAATTCACACTGTCCTCAAGGGAGGAAGGTGATGTGGCCCCCAGTAGCTGCCAGGCCCTGGACATTGGCGGTGATCATAGTAATGAGAGGTACCACTTACTGGCCACTGACTCAGAAGGAGACTGGGCCAAGTACTCTAGAAGCACTCATGTGATGCCTGCGCTAGGGATTATTTATCCCTTTTACAGAAGAGAAAACTGGGCCACAGAGAGGCTTGGTCATTTGTCCAGGGTCACACACACAGCTCCTGAGAGAGAAAGCTGGGATGCACCCCAGGTCTGCCCCAACCCCCTACACCCTGTTCTCAGATTTGAGGGGAAGCCTGGTTCCTACCTGGCTTCCGCCCACCTTCGCTGGGTGAGACCTCCTTGTTTTGAGGGAGCCAGTGTATGCAAGCAAGAGGGAAAGATCCATGATTCTTTGAGATGCAATGCCAAGGTGTAGCCTCCATCCCCAAGCACTGATCACAGACGGAGGAACAAAGTCATTTGGTCCCTGGCCACAGACCACTGTGCTGTTACAGAAGATGGCAGAGGAGCAGGGACACTGGGAGAAGCAGGGTCCAGGTCACCTGCTCCACACCTTCTGAAGCCACCTCTGCTCCCTTCTATCCAGGGTCACTGTCACCCATGGCTGAAAGGTCGTGCGAATCATGGCAAAGGTCTGGGGAATCAAGGCCCAGGGACAGCCCTGATTGCTTTCCAGTGGGAGACAAAGGCCAAATAACAGAAACCTTTTAAGCCTTTACTTAAAAAGTTAAGCATACTTGTAAGATATCAAAATAATGCATAGCTTAGCCTCAGTGTTGCTCTTCACAAACACCTATTGCTAGCTCTTCAGTGTGCGACTGTCTCCACACACACACACACACAAGCTGGTCACACTGTATATCCTGTTCTGAGACTTGCCTTTCTCTAGGACAGTTCTCATGCTGAGCATGCATTTCTTTCTCATTCTTTTTCATGGATGCATAGAACTCCAAAACGACAGCCATCCTCCACTTGGTGAGTACGCAAGTTGTGTCCATTCTGCTGCCATTTTTGACACTACTCCCCACTGCCTCAGAGAAACACCCTACACGACTGCATGGGCACAGCCCACATTCCTAGAAGTGAAGAATCATGGGGCCAGAGGGTGACCCCGTTACCATCTCATTTCTGAAGCAGGAGTCCCGTATGCCCCGCCCCACTTTAGCAGGTGGACCAGGAGGGCCAGTAATCATGACAAGTTCTGTCCCCTGCTTCGCCAACCAGTGTGCCTTTCTCTTCTTCAGGTACGAGGTGATCTGCCAGAGCTCAGAGCAGGCCAAGGACATCCTGGTGCCCTCCATCGACCCCCAGAGCAAGCACTGTGTGTTCCAAGGGGACCTCCTGCTCTTCAGCTGTGCAGGGGCCAACCCGAGGCACCAGAGGATCTGCCCCTGCCGGGACTACATCAAGGGCCAGGTGGCCCTCTGCAAAGACTGCCTATAGCAGCCCTGGCTCTCCTCTGCTCGCACTGTGCTGGGGAAGACAGCAGCTCTGCCAGGCAGGGCCAGGGGCAGAAGTCATTCCAGGACTCTAGCCAGAGCCCGGACTTCTTGGTTGAAGGTTTTGCTCGGTGCTTCTCCTGCTGCTGCTGCAGTCAGTGCATCTCAGGGGAGTTGTCACCAAAACAAAACGAGAGCATTTGTCAGGCCAGGAGCCTGGCTTCTCCCTGGTACAACAGGCTTCATTTCTACTTTGTGCGGAGCAACTGCAGAGAGACTGTCAAAGCAGCTGTTCCAGGGTAAAAAAAAAAAAAAAGATAAAAACGTTTCAAGATTCATTTAAAACAAAATAAGAGGAGGAATTGAGCTAATTGGAGAAAACTTTGAATGGGAACATTTCTAAACCCATTAACTTATTTATTTGGGAGGGAGGGAGGGGTTTAGGAGGGAGAAAAGGGACCGATCGTATTTCTGCCTCTGTTTCCCACTGTTAATCATTTCACTTTCACAGTATTACTCTCTCTGCTTCCGGTGGGGTGCAGTGGGGCTGATGGCTTTCTGGAGGGCAGCTGGAGAACATGGCTTCTGGTGGTGGCAGAGCAAAAAAAAATCTTGCCTTGGATACACAGCCAAACTGTCCTGAGTATTGTTGTACGGCTGATGGGCCCTGCGTGTGCTTGGCACGTGGCAGGTGAAAGATGAATGACCCCTTGGAGGCCATGTGGGCACTTCTGAGGGCAGAGAGCCCAACCAGGGACAAAAGATGGCGCTGTTTTGCAGCCTGGAGACACCCCTTTTCCTGTGTGTCCCCTCCCATCTACCTGCCCGGCTTAACCCTAATTTCTGGTTGGAATTCTTTTAGGGAAGAAATGCAAGGTTGTAGAATTTTTGTTTTCTAGTCAGTGGTAAATGTACCCTCCCTCACATGCCCCTGTAAGGAGGAAAGTAGAGGTGTGGGACTCAGCTGTCTTCGGGCTTGGAGGGCTGATTCTCCAGTCCCCAAGGTGCTGAAATGTGGACAGGAGTAGTCAGTCCTCAAGCATCAGTGGCACACCTGATGTCTGGGCACCTGACAGACGGGCTTGTGTTATGTCCCCTCTAGTGTCTGACATCACCCAAGTCTAGGCGGTGGGGGTCTTGGTGAACTTGATGTTTGCTGGGCAAGCAGGAGCAGCTCCTGGTGAATGCTGTGTGTTGTCCTGGCCGCTCCCAAGGGGTGGTGGTGCTGGCTTTTACTCTGAGGGGAAGGAGCAGACACATGGGGCTCAGCTTTCCACATCGTGGAGCCCTGTGCGCTGCCTCTGTGTAAGCTCTCACCTCCGCAAAACCATGGCTTCTGTACTCTGTGCAAGTTGGTAAGCTTCCCGTGAAGCCCCCGAGGCCTCCGTGCTGTGAGAGTGAGCCCTCTCCTACCACTGGAGCCATGGGCCGTGGCTGCTCAGCACTTGGTGCCACACCTGCAGTCTTGAGTTCCCCGAACTCTGCCGGTGGCAGAAAGGGAGAGCCACGTGGACCTCTGCTGGCAGAAGAGCCGGGCAAAGCTAATGACTGTGGGTGGGCCTGCGTGAGGAGCAAGGGAAAGAAAGAATTCTTTTTTGTGGGATCCAGCAAGAACATGGAGACTTTAAGTCTGGGAAGTTGGATCTCCCTGCTTCTTGGCTTCTGCTTGGTGCATAAATACTGTAATAGCAAATGCATAGCCGTTAACTCCCCCTTCAAGCCCTCAGATCTCTGCTCTGTGAGTTTGAATTGCACTTCCATCTTAGAGAGTGGAGGGGGCTAGGGAGGGGCAGCCAGAGTCTCTGCTCCTCAGGTGGCCCTCAGCACATCTGACAGGGAGACCTCTGCCCTGAGTACTGACAGGGGTAGGGTTGAGCGTCCTCTCAGGACCTGACTGGGAACGACCTCTACCTGGGCTCAGTAAGGAGGGTTGGAAGTCCAAAGGAAAAGCGTATGTTCATTTCTTAAAACTTTGCCAGGGCAGTTTCCTGCAGTAGGAGGGGAGAGAACTTCCTCACTGTAAGGAAAGGCTTTTTCTCTGTGAGTGAGCCTTTTGGCTGCATCTTAGTGTATTGAGTTTGAGTTTCCAGACCTGCAATTCATGGACCAGCTCCGCCCCCTGCTGGTCTCCTTCCCTGCTTCACAGGCTGCCAGTGCAGACAATTGACCAGCAGGGGGAGCCTACGAGTCAAGACTTGCTTCCCCTGGCTCTGCCTGTTTTAACCCACTGTTTATACAAGCACAGGAATTCAGAAAGCGAGAAACCTGGAAAGTATTGTTATCCCTGCCTGCAGAAGCTGCACGGATCGTTTCCTGGCTGTTGCTGAGCTCAGGGCCTCTGTACCTTCCTGTTCTCAAAGTCAAGACCCCAAGGTCAGGCAGCTCAGAAGAGCACTTTCTCCCATTTAAAAATTCCTCTTCCTTCCCCCCAGTCCAGCCTTAGCTGGAAATAAACAGGAGATCTACTGGTGAGTCTGCTGCTCTCTGGCCAAACCAGCCCACGCTCCCGCTCCTGTTGTTACAGACATTATAAATGGAAGTGGTGGATGTACATCAGCTCCCAGGCTTCCTTGTGCTCTGTCCAGGTTTGGTCAGGAAACGGGGGGCTGGGGGGATGGGGTGGGGGGTCGGTTCCCCACTTGCCCAGTGTGGAAAAAAGAGGAAGGTGCCTCTGAAAGTGTGGCTGGAAGCCTGCAGCAGTTTTGCTATTGCTGATTTTTATAAAAACCTAAGTCAATTTGTAACTGATGACTATTCCACAGGGAGAGAAATCCAAAATAGGATCACTGTTTTCCTATGCTATAATCATATCTTACCTTGTCCTTTGGATTATTTTTCCCATTGTGGTCTTAAACTTGAAGGGAACAAAACATTTATCTAATTTATTAAGAAAGAAAACACGTTCCTTTGTAAGGTAAGTACTTCGTGGAGTAAAAACTCCTGAAAGGGCAAACACTTCTTTGAATGCCAGTAAACACCTCATTTATTTCATGTGTGCAGTTTGATTTGCACATGTACAAATGGAGATGCTCTTTGCATTTTTGCTTTGATTTTGTTTTTGTCATTGCTTATCACAGTTTGATTTCAGTGTTTGCTGTGTGTTTGGAAATAGTCGAGTCTGTTTCTTTGGTGGGATTTGTTTTCCTGATGTGCCTTTTCACTTTTCTTTGGGATTGGTTTTTGGAATCTGTGTGCTATTGCAGGGTGACAGCAGGCTGCTGCTGGTGGGACCGGTACTTGGGTGAGTGCAGATGTTCAGGTTGGGCACCAGAAATGCCCCCTAGGCCACAGCATTTGTGTGTACACATGCGCTCCCAGAGGAGGACTCAAGGCCGTGAGAAGGCCAAGAAAAGGCCTGGCTCCCTCCTGGAGTTTGCGGTCTGTCTTGGGGCTGCTGGCTGCCAGGGTACCGATGGCACTGATGGGTCTGCACTCCCTGCCACCCAGCACTTGCTGAAGTGTTGTCAAGGCAGAAAGCCCCTCCTCCACGAGGGACTGTGAGCTTTCTAGAGGAATAGCCCAGAAATACTCAGGCTGGTTAACATCATGAAGGAGAAAAGACCTGTACCCTCTCTTTTTGTTTCCTGGATGGATGCAGGTTGAATAAATGTAATCAGTTTCCACTTGGGAGTGGAGCCACACTACCACTCACTGGTAAGTGAAGATGTCAGTGTGTGGGGTTGGACTGAAAGAAATTACTGTGTACAAATGACTATGTGCTTTTCAGAGCAGACCAAGGTGGATTACCTAGATTGTGTATATAATTAGACACTGCTTCCCTCTCCCCGGCCCACAAATTCTTGATTTTTTTTTTTAAAGTCTATTTTGTTAACGACAGGCTCTGTTGTGTTGCTAGCCCAAGCCTGGATTATTTTATTTATTTGAAAATATTTTAATTTCCATATTGGCTTTATTCTAATCCCATCTATCCGTGCGGGGCCACAAAGCATCTTCATGTGACTAGATGGACTTATGTAGATTCATGCTCATTTAGGAAGCTGGCAGTTTCGTAAAGCTAAGCGTGAGTTCCTTTCACTCTTGTTGGCTTCAACAAGTGGAACAACAAATTTTTACATGTAGCAAAAGATCATATTAGCTGTATAGTCTTGGATGCAGGAAAAAATAATTACCCTATCTCTCCTAGCACTTAGGGTTTTGTGAGGAGTCAGTATTTAGTACAGTGCCTGGCACATAGTAAGCCCTAGTAAATGTTAAATATTGTTATTATTAGCATTTCATAAAACCTGACAAATACGGAGCTGAGCTCCTTCCCTGTTCCTCAGAAGTAATACCTACATGGAAATATTATCCCAAGTTGATGAATGTTGTAGGAATTACTGGTTTAGAGTGCTCAAGTTCTGCACCTACCCTCCTAGTTGAAATTTTACTGTATTCTTGGATGCACTGAGTCCTTTGAAAATTTGTTAGACATCAGCCCCCAGTGAAAAAAGGCTGCAAGCGTTAAGTGACTGGAGACGAAAAGTGTGAAGGTGACGTGTGGCCACTTACTGACCCTCACCCCACTGATATCTTCTGGAACATTCCAGGGCTTTTCTTTGATGAACTTTCTGAGCTTGAAATTAAAAGACCTTTGACAGACTGCACCCCAAGAATTAAAGTTAATTTATTCCTTTGCAGTGGAGAGAGACTTTTCTGTGTCCCTTAAGGAAAAAGAAATGACCAATTGATTTAAACATTCCCCTAGGAAGTCCCTTCGTGGCACTCTGCTGGCCAGGGTGGGCTCTAACAGGCTGGTTAGCTCTCATGTTTCTACCAATTAAAGGTTAATTCCAAAAAACAGGGGTGTGGGCACATGCCTGTAATCCCAGCACTCTGGGAGGCTGAAGCAGGAGGATCACAAGTTGAAGCCCAGCCTAGGCAATGTAGCAGAATCCTGTCAGAAAATAAAATGGTCTGGGGAGGTAGCAAGTCACAAAAGAAAGAAGAAAAAAAAAAAAAAGTTAATCCCATATCCTGGTCCCAAAGAAAACCCACCTCCCCAGGGGAACCAGCTGAGATCCTGGAGCAGGAATTTGGGCCTCTGGCAGAACAGCTCCCACAGGCTGCTCGTGGTTCCATGATGCTTTCCCAAATCACTTAAGTGTCAGTTTGTTGTCTTATTGGGGATTTAGCCTCCCATACTGCCCTAGTGGATTTAAAGTTTTATCTCTTGCCCTATGTTGACACAACTCTAGATAGATTGGGGAAAGTTTTTGGAGTTCAATGTCTTTTCCAAATTCCTTTGGTTGCTCTTCCGCTGTCCAGCAGTCTTATAATTGTATGGATGCAGTGATTGGAATTCACCTTCAGAGCCTCTGTCTCTCCTCCAGATTTTGTGTCACCTTGGGGAAGTCTGCTTATTTGGTGGTCAGGGACAGTGTCTGTGGAGTGGAGCGGGTATCGGGCACACACAGCATTGCAGTGACCTGGGCAGCAGGACGGGATCTCAGGATGGCCCCTCATCCCCCTGGGCCGAGATGAGTGAACACAGAGCATTCTGCTCGCTAACCTGCCCAAGTGTTAATAGCGTAATTGTTGATGCCAAAGGAGATGGTTATGTCCATCTACAGGAGTTAGTTACAATCTTGACATTGTTAATAGCCATTTTGTGTCTGTGTCTTCAAACAAATCCTGGTCCAGCTATTTTCTACTGTGTACTTACGGGGTTAAGTCATACAGGATACTGCAAATAAGGTGTTGCTGTCCAAATGTACTGTACTGGCATAGAGAGCACTGCTTTGTTTTCCACTGTTGTAGAGAAAACTAGGGAGAACTTTATTTTTCAATAAACTTTCCTTGTGTGACAGGTGCAAGTGATTTTGAGGGGGCCACTGAGTACAGGGTCACCGGCAAAACAAAGCTGGGCTGTAGTCCAGCTGCCTCTCATAGCTTGAAAACATGTTTGAAAAAGCTGCAAGGATGGTGAAGATGAGGGGAAAGAACCGTTTTATCCTTTACATTACATCCACCAGTGCCAAGTTCAGAGCACTCCCTGTGCTTCGTTCACCTAGAGGGGAGCTGAACTGGAAAGTGAGCTGCTACACTTGTGTTTTGAGATACTGTCTGCAACAAAGTAGGGGAGGCTGAGCACCAGAACCAGGTAGACCTGGAACATCTCTCCCCCTGAGGGGAATAAAAGCATTTACAAGAAGGAAGGCCACACCCCAGCCAATACTGAGGGGCTGGCCTGACCCTCAGCTCCAGAGGCCTTCCGGGGAACTGCCCACGACAGACTGCCACACAGTTTGCAGCCCATGTTTGGTGAGACACAAGTTCTTAAAAGTGCTGAAGAAATGCCAAATACCTCTGTTTGGGGAAAGGCACATCGTGGTTGTGCCCCTGCCCCCATACAATGTATATTAAATATAGTGAGAAATCCTGCAGAAAAGAAACGCGCTCAACCTGCATTTCCCAAACATCTGGCCTATCTTAGTGCGTTCATAACATCTCATAGAAGGCTCACTGGAGTACTGTCTGGGGAAGCCACACACAGAAGCAGCCTTGCCTTTATATAATGAAGTACAGGTTGTCCCCTAACTGATCTAAATGCCCGGGACAAGTTTGGATTGTAGAACATTTGCATATACATGAGATATCTGGAGGATAGGACCCAAGCCTAGGTGGGAAATGAATGTTTCGATGTACCTATACACACTTCGCATTTTGGATTTCAGTTAGGGATGCTCGACCTGGACCTTCCTTTAACCAGTTGGAGGGGGTAGGGGCACAGGGCACTGAATGCTGGAGTGAGAGACCTGGGTAGCGGCCACCTCCATGTTCCAGGCAAGATAGCCTGCCAGGGCCTTCAGCTCCCCCTAATACATGTGTCAGGCTGAGCCACAGAGGCCATGAAGCCCCTTGCAACAGTCCAACATGTTGGCTTTTACCGCCAGTCCCAGGCACAAGCAACCCCTTCCAAGTTATCCTTCAGCTACAATGGAAAGCCTACCCATGGCGAGAGCTGTAAAGACATCAGGCCCATGTGTTGCTGCCGCACAATGACGTCTCTCAAAGGACGACCTCCCCATACCATACAAAACAGGTAAAGGTCTTTATTGTCCAGACACTGCTGCCTGGACAGGCAGTACTGTGAGAGGTACAGAACATTCCAGGGAAGGGGACAGGTACGGAATCTACACCTAACGTTACATCAACTGAGAATGTCTCATTCCTTACAGAGGAGTAAACCATCTCACACACTGTACTGTACCATTACCACTTAACACAGCATATAGATATATGCATATACGGATTATATCATTATTTATTACAAATAAACTAGTTTCACATCTTTCAAAAATGGATCCTGTTTTTACATGGATGTGCAGGTCCTGAACATATGAGAAAGGGTTATGTGCTTATTTAGCTTGTCCATGCAAAGCTCGTATGTGTATCACTAAGTACTTTAAAAAATAGAATGGCCTCCTTTTGAACAAATCTGTTTAGGTTTAGAATTAGTAAAACAGTATGAAACTAATGAAGTACACTGATAGAAATCAAGGAGGATATACTGATGGTTTGGGGTTTTTACAGGGATGTGGGACAAAAGGGCACGGTCTTCCTTAAAATCTGCCAGGAGCGACTCTCGAACCAGGTGGTGGCTGGGGCTACACACACTACCGAGGAGGTGGACCTGGTCAGTCACTGTCTGTTTCAGGCTTAGAGAACCACGGATGGGCTCTTACCCTACCCACAAGAACTGTCTTACTCCAGAATATCGAAAACATCAGTTCCGGCTCCGGATGGGGAAGCGGGTCCCCTCCTCTGAACACAGTCCTAATGTGTGTGACAGCCATGGTGTGAGCGTGTGAGGCACATCCACCCGCTGAGCAGATCTTGGCTTGTGAGGACGAACTGTATGAAAGAAAACTTCCAATAAACAGACAAACCATGTTCAGTTGAGTGTTGGCACTGTCCGCCGGCATGGAAACCTCTGGTCACCTTGACAGTCTTCATGCAGATGGGGCCCATGCCGGCCCCAGCCACCTTCACTCGAATGTCTCGTAGTGACGCGTCTGCCTCACCCTTGGCACCATGTCGATGAGGAGCCTGCAGAGAGGAAGGCAGACGTGGTCACATCCATACCACATTTCTTCATTCACAGGCTGTCAAACACACTTGGAAATAGTTTACAGACCAGGGGTTTGTATTACAGTCAGGTGTTGGTGCAATCATCCCCACTACCCTAATTCCAGAACATTTTTGTCATCCCATAAATAAACCTACTCGCACTAACAGCAAATCCCCATTCTCTCCTCCACACCTACCCCAGCACCAAGAACCTATCTCATCTCTAAGGAGTTGCATATACTGGGTATTCCAGATAAAAGCAATCATACTATGTGGCACTTTTATCTAGCTTCCTTCACTTGGCATAATGTTTGAGGTTATCCACACTGCAGTGTGCATTGGTACTTAATTCCTTCTGATGGCTGAGTAAGTTCACTGTACAGATCTACATTTATCCACTCATCAGTTGCGAGATGGTTTCTACTTGTGCCTCCTGTGAACACTGATGTACAAGTTTGGGCATGGATGTGTGGCTTCAGCTTCTCTGGAGTATATGCTAAGTCACATGGTATCTCCATATTTCACATTTTGAGGAATTGCCAAGTTCTTCAAAGCAGCAGCACCACGTGCATTCCCACCAGCATTGTAGTGGGTCCGAATCTCTACGTCCTCACCAACCCTTATAACTATGCCTGGTTTTGAGTAGAGCATCACAGTGGGAGATGGGAAACATTTTAACAAAGTCAGGTCCAGCTCTGATCCCATGGAACTGCTTGACCTCCCCAACCATGCCATCACCCATGTCTGGCAAGAAGACCTCCACAGTGAGGAAGCCATACAGAGATGCTAGCCAGAGACACTGTGAAAGCCACCAGTATAGAGAAAGGGAGGAGTACACATCTTCCGGTCAGAAATGGCTAAAGGGGGAACCACTTGGTGGTAAAGACAACACACAAAAATAAAGGAATCCTTTTTGATAAGAGGCTTAAAGCTTTTGTGCCACAAGAGTCTGCCTAACTTCTTGTTAGCTACAAGAACAACTGAACCTTGCTGGGGTAGGGGGAGGTGGTTTCCAGTCACCTGACAGATTAGGCTCAGAAGGGCACAGGAACAAGATGTGATTCTCGGGATCCTGCTCTGTCATTTCCTAGCTAAAGGAGGAGGTGGAAAGAAAAGCACTCTTGGCCATCAGCAAAGTAAAGATAAAAGGAACATACTTGACCCCATAGGCAAATATTGTGAGGCCAATCAACACCCCGATGCTGCCATCCAGGTACCAGACTGCTGCATTGTGCTTGAACACTTCTGCACTAAGAAGAATGGAGAAGCCCATCACGCCGCCCACGAGGGAGTTAAAGCCTGCAAAAGAAGCAGAAAGATGCCAGGTGGCGGTGTCAAACCATCTTTATTAGCCACCAAAATTCCTCCCTGTTCTGGAGCATGTGCCAGAGAAAGGTGTCTGGAAGATCTCTCGCCCATGATAGCCACAACCTGAGGCACTTACGAGGCTCGTTAATCTCTGTCCCAGTGTCACCAGGGACCTCCCTAGACAGCTATCACACTCACCTTCAGTCTCTACCTCTTCATTTCTGTTTCTTTTCCAAGTACTTACACCCAAGTGACAGTACGTGTGTGGTTCATTTTGGTCTTCTTCCCACACCCACTAATGCAAACCTGGTGACAAACAGGAGCTTGGTTTGCTGTTGAATTCACAGAGTCCACAATAGTGCTTGGTGTAGGGTAGACATTCAAGTCCTTGGTGATGCGAATCTGTCTAATGTCTGCTAGGCCAGGTCCCAAACTGGGTGTTTTAGTTGCATATCAACTTTCTCAGCTTCACCAATAGGAAAACTAAACTAAGCAGAGGGAGGTTAAATTAACCAAGTCAGTGGAGAAGGGTGGGGCTGGGGTTCCACCTGACCCTGCACCCATTCCCTCTGCAGTTTCCTTTGCCTAAGGATCTTCCCTCTGGCTCCAGAAGAGCAATGCGAAGTTTTAATTGAGTTGCACACCTGGAGAAACAGCAATAAATGCAGAACTAGAGCTAATATATATTGATAATCATCTCCTTTCACCTGTTACATCCTCTGGATTCCACAACTTATACATCACATTTGTCTTTTACCTGTGAGTTTCAAAGGCCACATGGGAAGGGAATGGCTCTGGGCTCTCCCAGTGACGTGAATCAAAGTTCCTGGCTTGCTTCAGCATCATGAGGTTCCCCTAGAGGAGCTCCATGTCTACACAGGGCCAGTCACCTCTCAATGCCTCATTCCAGGCTCAACTCCCTTTTTTTGGTATCAGGGATCAAACTCAGGACCTCACGCTCACCAGGGAGGTGCTATGCCACTGAGCTAAATCCCCAGCCCAACTCCCTCTCTCTAATAGTACCATGTTCTCGCTGAATTCAAAAGCCTACTCTGGCTAAAAGCAACAGAATGGAAATCATCCTAAAACACATGATTCTGTCTTACTCCCAAGAAAGTCTGAAGAGTAGGAATGATAGAAGCAAAGCTTGGGTCAGAAGCATGCTCAGCAGTTCCAAGGAGGGGACATCTATTGACTCCTCCCTACTAATGACCACAAGATAAACCCGAGGGCTGCACGGGCATCTTACAGACAGGCCTGTGACACTTGGCTATGGACTTCACCTCACACCCTCTCCAAAGCTCAGCGAGTGACTCGGCCTTGTTCTTAGAGCACTTAGGATTGGACAAGAATATTTCATCTTGTCAGCACCAAAGCCACCATGCAATGGCAACCTCTCGTCTTCTCTGTTCCTATATAAGGACAACCTCTGCAAACCTGCTCACTTCCCTCTTTCCTGGATCTTTCCCTCTAGGATGAACCTACTTTACCATCCATGCAGTACAACTCCTTCCTTGACCCTGTCTTCCCCTCCATGTACTATTGCCCTGCACAGAACCCCCTGAAGAGTTGTCTTCCTAAGCTCTCTTCACCTTCATGCCTCCCATTCTGCTCAGGTTCCTCCCTCCTAAACCCTTCCTAAGGTCATCTGTGACTATGTGTCTCATGGGTACATGGCTCCCCTTCTTCCTAGGCATTCCAGCCTTGCTCACTCCTGGCTTTCCTCCTTCCTCTCCAGCAATTTCCTTCCCGGCCTCCGTTGCTGGCTCCTCCTCATCTCCATCCTAGTAGCCTGGGCTCAGCCCTCTGCAGTTTCCCTCTGTGCACACACTCTTCCCAGTGAGCCAGCGTCTCACAAATGTCTGTCCTTTATCCTGAACTGTCCCCTCGTCTACTGATTCACTTATGGAATATGAACAAAACAATCATTTCCTGCCCCTAAACACCTCACCCTCCTGCCACCCAAAACTCTGAGCCCATTGACTTCTCTCACACCCACCGAGCAATCTAGCAAGTAATTCTTGCCACCTGCTATGGTCACAAATTAGTCTCATCACTACCTTCCTCTCACCAGCCCCACTGGCCCAACCCATATGCCCACTACCAGTCTTCACCAGCTTCCCCTCCAGCTGCCCACCCATTCTCTGACACCAGCCGGAGTGCCAGCATAACCTTATGTAAGTGGACAACAGTCCAAACCCTCTATTGGAAAAGTGCCTATTACTATTTCAAGTCCCACTCAGACTTCATGCTGCTGCACCACCCCCTCCTGCTTCTCCCAAATGCCTTGGAACTTCACAGGACTCTGCACCTTGGGCCTGAGCCCTAAGGCACTTTCTCCCTACCCACCAGCCCCACCCCCTCATCCTCACCACTTCATTTTTCCCAATGGCTCTTCTCCACCTGACATGCTACTTTGGCCATCTTTCTTTCCCATTAGAAACCTAAGCTTAAAGACAGGAGTATTTCCTTTCCTTGCTATATTCCAAGTCCCAGAACAGTGCCTGGCATTTATCAGGGACACGAATGATCACCACATTAATTAGTGAATTACCAGATGGAGAGGCGGAAGGAGCCACGTGGGGCATGGCCTATGCTCTATTATCCCCAGAGAGAGGGAGCCACCCCTTGCTGAACTGTTAAGTAGCCCTGAGACAATGGTGTTTAGAAAAGATGGAGAGACCCTGAGGTTCCCCAGGCAGCCACTAGATGTCCACTCAGCTCTACCAAGTCATCAGGCGCTACCTGCCAGCACAGCGGACAGCCCAGCCTAAGGACCTGAGGCACATTGGCCTCCTTCACCTGCATTTTGGGGGGGCAGGTATCCTATTTGATGGTTTGGCTCACCTTTCGCATGACAAAGGCCGACTCATTTCAGCTCCACCTCTTGTGAGCCTGCATCAGAACGCACGTGCAGGACATAGCTACCCTACCACACCCCTCAGAATCCTGTAGCTTTCCCAGTCACATCCTGCAGGAAGAAGCGGAGCACCAGCCCTGTTCCCCATCAGCCACTGCACCAAGGGCAGCACACCAGGCTCTGGTAGCCACTCCGTCACATGAGCTGGTCCCTGTCCCCTCAGTTAAAACCACAGAGCAATCCTAACCAGGTCTGTCTGTGAGTTAACATATAATAACCAGGGACATCCTGATTGAAGGGCCCTCCAGTCTGGCTTTAATGACTGATTCTGAATCTGTATAATTAGGCATGTTAATTTTATGAAGAATGTTCTGATAAAGTTTTTCATATGCTTGAAAAATCGACAGAGTCTCTGGGTATTTTAGACTTGGAAGAGAGCAGAACAGTCATGACAGGCCCCTTGTGAGGGATTTCTCAGCTCTCCCCAGCTGTCCCTGTGGATAGAACTGAAGTTGAGCCCTGGGCCCCTGTTTGGAATGTCCCTCAGGCATAGTATTTGTTAAACAATGCATATACATGTGCATGCACACACAGTTTTTGCACTGCTGGGGATGGAACATAGGATGTCATGCATGCTAGGAAACTGCTCTACCACTGAGCTACACCCCCAGCTTCCATTGTACTTTAACTAATGCAAAGCAAGTTTCATCCTAGTCCCAATTGCAATATGTATGTTGACTAAATATCTGAAGCAACAAAATCAAACTAGACAAAATCTGCATAACAAAATGGGCAAATCTGGAATTTACCATCCATGCCCTTCTGTCCCCTTTCCCCGAAAACCTGCTTCCTAGCTTTAAGGACACATCCCTGCAATGAAGGACATGGCAGAGTCACTGTGACCCAGTCCTGCAGGGTCCCAGAGACCTGCGACAGATAAGGGCCTCCCTTCCTCCTTCCTGCTTCCCTCCCTACAGGACTAGCAGTTTGCTGAACCTACTTCCTTGCACAGAAAAGGCACTTGGCTCAGCTCAGCAGGGCAGCATCCAAGGTATGGGTTCCAGAGCCAGCCCCTTAGAGAACCCACAACATTACCGACAACCATGGCTGGCAAATCTCCACCCTGCCCACCTCCAAAGTGAGAGAACCAGGGGAGATAATTACAGATCACTCCCTACTTCTGCTAATCAATGAATGAGTAAAACATCCCAGACAATACAATTAGCAGGAGGCTGCAATTACTGCCAAGAATTCACTGAGACCAATCCATTCCCAGGCGCAAGGGCCCCCTATGGGAAACAGGCTGGGGAAGGGGCTGCCTCTGCTCCCTGGAACAGCATCTCTCTCTATCAAACCCCACCGCCATGTGCCCCAAAGCCCTGCATGTTTTATAAATATCCACCCTTCTCTCCACCCGCTCTATCTTCACAGGATCCAAGCTGCCACTCTCTTTAGCTCCCCAGAGACTTCTCATTGCTTCAGTCTTACTTCTCTCCACTCTTTTCCCCACCACCAGTTACCAAGGGGGGTCTTCAAAGCACATCAGTCATGTCATCTCATCTGCTGTGCGTTTGGCAAAATAGCCAAACTCCAGTCCTACTGTGACCTGCCCTGGTCCACCTCTTAGGGTCTTCTCCTGAACCACAGGGCTCCCTCTGCCTGGAGGACAGCTTTGCCCTGTTTGTGGGACAATTTTCACTTCAACTACCCACTTCTCTTTGTAATTTCCCCCTCCTTCCTGGTTTAAAAGTATGGTGGAAATATTGCTTTAGTGTAAATGGTTGTGTGGGTGAAAAAGTCAGAAGTTATTAGAGAACCCTAAGTAGCATTCGGTTGTCCTCTGTACACCATATAAAATGGTGGAAGTACAGTGACTTTGCCTAAATAGAAATTTGGACATGAAATTGCTATAATGTTAAGGAAAAACCACCAGCCAAAGCAAAAGGATTATTGCTGAGGGTGGAGGAACACCCCATGGTCCTGGGCAGGTCTGATGTTGGGTCTAACTGCTGGTCCACACTCAGGTTTCTGCAGCCTGACTGCAGTCAGCGGGATACATACAGATGCCAGGTGTCTGCAAGTAGAGGGAAAAGGGGACTGACTGGCACATGGAGAATCAGGCCCCCAAGCTGCCCTGTGTCCTCATCCCAGGAGCTCAGAAAGCTGTTTGCCTGTGCTGTCCTCCTGGTGTGGCTACTTGCCTGTTGTGTTCCAGGTAAGAAGACATAAGGAGAGGGAGGAACATGGCTCTGAGAAGGCAAGGACTAAGGACCTGGGCCAGAGCTGTGTTCATCAGAGAGATGTAAAGGAACCTCAAAGGCGGCTGGGAAACCCAAACTCAAGCAGCTGACTGCCCACTCATCCTTCAGCTCTTTCAGGAGACACTGAATACAGCAGGGTCCACCTTCCTGGGGTGACACTGTGCCTAGCCCTTTGGGGTGGCCCTGGAGGCAGCAAAAAACTCAGTGTGCACAACGTGGATGACAGCTATGAAATGCCTGTTTCTGGGCCCCACCTCAGTTTTTTGCCCTTGAGATCAACAGGTGAGGCCAGGAATCTTTTTAACAAACATCTCACCACCAATTTCAATGTTGCCAGGCTGGTGATAGGTGTCAGCTGGTTAGGACCTGGAGTCACCTTGTTTTACAGTCAGTATGTCAAATCATGCAACCCCACTCCTTCAGGCCTTTCAAAGGAACCCCCACCTGCATCCTTCTGCACAGGTGATGCCCTTGCCAAGGCAGCTAGGGCCACACATCTGGGACCTCCTCATGCCTTCAGGAGACAACGCTACAGACAAGAGCAAGAAGTGGGGAGCCAGCAGTGTAGACAGAGGCTGGAAAGATTCTCAGACCTGAGCTCAGTCCTTGGTTGGAAACATTTTGACTTCTTCATGTCCCTGGATTCCACTGTGTAAAGCCCAGATCCACACATAATGAGGCATCGACATGGGCCAGGAAGAGGGATCAGAGCCTATCCTATGTTGCCTTCTGGTGCAGCATCCTCTTAGTCCAAAGCCACCCACCACCCTCATGCATTTCACATGTCAAAGAACTTTGAGGATTTGGGAGGGAGGAGTCTTTCTTTACTTGAAAGAAAGGGAGGGAAGAAGGCAAAGGGAAGGAAGAGAAAGAAAAGAGGTCAATCCACTGCTTTCTGCTCTATTTTGTACAGATACACCCCAAGCCTATACACTGACTGCCCCACTACTTTACTACAAACCCTTAGATCCTGGACATTTCAAGAATGAATGAGAATAAAATGGGCAGGTGGTTCTGTTTGTCAAATCTCTTGTTTATGTCAATGCTAGTTTGGGACCCAAGGTGCACTTCACCAGCAGTCACGCACCCTATTCCCTGTCATTCCAAAGAGCCACATGGGAAGATCCCCCAGACCCACAGAGACACACAAAGGCTTTTCTGTCTGATTTGGGTTTTAACCAGAGAATTCATGGATGGCTGCCCCCACACAGGTACCTGGTCATTACAACCTAAACCCCTATATGACCAGCTCACTAGCTGAAGGGAACAGGAACATGGAGAATTTACAGAGGAAAATGTAAAGAATCCAGAGAAAAAAATTTACTTTTTACTTGGAACCATTCAACTTAAGAGTCTGGGAAGCCAGACTCTTGTGTTTTATGATTGAGAGGCTGGGAGTCCCGAGCCTCCCTGTTAGGTCAGGATACAGGGGATTCACGAAAGGTTTATTAAATTCTCAGGGCCTGAGATGTCTACCCTGTTATAGGAGCCCAGGGAATCATTAAACAGCATGTGGAGGAGGGGGGTGGGGTAAATGGATTCTAAATTGTTGAGTTCTCCTGCAAGATAAGCAGCTACAAAATGACCCAGACAGCATCCTCCCTCGCCATGGGCTTACTCCCAGAGATCAGGCACACTGGCCTTACTCACCATCTGTTATAAGTGCTCTGCTGGTCAGAACCTTCCCCAGCATAAACTTCAGCACAGCCAGGATGCTGCAAAGGATCCCACTTAAAATGGAAACGCTGAACAGGAAATCATCCTAGAAAAGAAAGTTCCAGGTTTCAACAGTTTGTCTCCTGCTACAGCAGGTCATCTGCAAACCACTCGCCTTAAAAATCTGCTTTGTTCCAAGAAAAAGTAGTTAGGTATGCTGCCACCAGGTGGGTGTGTGCTGTACACTTTCATAGCTCTGTTAACTCTCTCTGGGACTTAGAAAAGACGATTAAAGCAGATATTCAGATTTATATTTATTTAGAAGCCCTTTATGTATTTCTTTCCCTATAAGAGATTCAGCTTCCCACTATTCTGCTAAAATGAATGGCAACCACTGATCAATAATAGAGCTGGTCAGAATGCTAAAAATGGCATCTAAGTAGTTTTCCACAGGTAATTCACAATGCAGGTGATTGAGAATTTTGAAACACATCACTGGCCTCAGAACTCTTTAATACAGAGCCAACTGAATTAGCCACAAGGTCAGTTATGGCCAGAGCTACCGAAAATTCTTTTTCCTTAAAAGCACATAATTGAAAGTTCAAATATAGCCTTCAAGTTGGGAAAAATGGCATTGAAAAATATAGTCTGCTATTGACGTTATCTTAACACCTCTGATCCTTACGTTTGCAAGCAAATGAATGAGTCATATATGCAAAGCCAGTACAGTTATCTCCTGACACTCAGCCCATGAGCTGCTCTGCTACAAGCTCCCACACAGCTCCCATGAGACACAGGCTTCAGGTTCTCCAGAATTAAAATGTAACTTCCAGCAGAAATCTGATACAGCATCATACATCCAAAAAGAAATAGGATTCTTCTTAAGTGTTTTATTAATAAATTCACTAACATAATGACAGTAGCTAAGAAGGTGACAGCCTGTTTCCCTGGCTCAGGACTGAACAAAGTCATCTGAAAATCACCTCACTGGAAAAAGGGTATCTGTATAGTATCAAAACAAGTCCCCCAAAACACAAGTCTGTGGCAGTGGTAGTTTTCAAAATGTATGTTCACAAATTCTTTGCTGCTCCCTGCCCCAGGACATAGGAATCAACCTCGAACCTCACCACCTGCCCTTGAGCACAGTCTGGACTTGATGACACAAACAGAGCAAATAAGGAGAGGTAAGAGGACAAAAGAGTGACTTTACAGTGGAGAAACCCAGCAGACGCCTCCTCTCCAAGTGATCGAGGTTAACATCACCATTGATAAGTTGTGCCCCAGATGTGCACTCGGCCTCCATGGTGCTCTGTCAAAACCCATAACCTGTTCAGTTGTGAAAAACCATCAAACAAACCTAAACAGGGGGATAGTTTACAAAATACCTGACCCTCCTCAGATGTGTCAAGGTCATGAATGATAAGGAACAATCAATAAACTGTCACAGACTGGAGACTGAAAAGATATGACAACTAAATGCAACGCGGTATCCCAGACTGAACACAGGAAGAGAAAAAGGTCCTCAGTGGACAGAGGGGAACACTGGAATGGAGTCTATCACTTTTTTATTGTGCTGAGATCTCACAGTCTAGAGAAATGTGCAGTGGTTGCGGGAGATATTAACATCAGGGCAGGCTGGATGAAGGGTGTATAGGAACCCTCTACTCTACCTTTAAAACTCTTCAATAACTCTAGAATCATTTCAAATTTATACATTTTTTATAAATAATTACCTTGTGGAAGTTTCACCTCATCAAATTATCAATAAGAACTGAGACAAACTTGGTCTTTTAGCCAATGCTGAGTCCCTCCTGAGCAGAAGGCTGTATCAGAGAGACCACCACAATGGGGCTGGAAGACAAAAACTCCTAAATCAAGCTCCTTTTTTGAAGGGATTCAGCCTAATTGCAGTGCACCCTATTTTCTGTGCACCCGCAGAAAACAATGTGAGCAGGATGCTATACCTGAATGCTTGTGCCCCCTAAAATTTATATGCTGAATCTTAATGCAATGTGATAGTATTTAGAGGTATGGCATTCGGAAGATGAACAGATGATAAGGGCGGAGCCCCTATGAATAGGATTAGTGGCCTTCCTTGTATGAGAGACCCCTGAGAACACCTCTGCCCCTTCTGCGTGTAAGGACACAGCAAGAAGGCTCCATCTATGAACCAGGAAGCGGACTCACCAGACATACAATGTGTTGACTTTGGACTTTTGAGCTTCCAGAACTATAAAAAATAAATTGTTGTTTATAAGCCACTCAGTCTATGGTATTCTGTTACAGTAGACAGAGTAAACTAGGACACATTAAGGAATCATATATAAGCTAGTCCCAGGTGCTGACGAGACTCAAGCACAAGCTGGGAGACTGAGGATGTCAATTAAGAAAAATATTTTGAAACCTTTCTGGCTCCATTCAATCTCTCCCCTTGCAAAAACCTCATCCCTGAATTTCTAGAGGTGAAGAAGGTCTGTGCTTCCCTCCCAGAGGATCCAGGAACTGGAGGGTGGGGTGCTCTCCCCTCCCCTCAGAAGCACCCTCATGGTTCTGTCAGTCCTTCCTGGGGCTGCCACCTAGGGGGCTCACTACTGAATGGGGCCCGGCTGCCTGTGGCTCAGGAATGTGTCCAGCAAACCTCTGCTCAGTTCTCAACTTCTCCTCACTGGGAAAACGAGCCTGACCTCTTGAGTCTCAGTTCTCTCTGCTGTGTCAGTGGGACCCCTGTAAGCCCTGCCAAGTAACAGAGGTGAATAAAAAGAGAGCATTCATTGTTAAAGGACCCAAACACATTACCTACATGCTTACTCCATCAAATGGCAAAATTAAGTGCTCATGGGAAGCCCAAAGTACAGCAGGCATCACCATTAAGTGAACACAGGGGAATTACTACCTAGAAAACAGTAAGCATGGTGAAGTGAACAGAGATCTCAGAAAGACTAGGACTGGGATCTGCAGTGGTGATCTGTAGGGTGCTCTCTCTCCTGAGAAGCCCTCCAAGGACTGGTAACTCTAAGGTTCACTCCCAGAGTGCAGAGGGCAGGTTTCTCAGGAAAGAAAGTGGAAGTACTGGGCAGCAGCTAAAGGTACAAAGTGAAGCCCACACAACAGCCATGTGACTCGGGGCAAATCGCTTAGCTCTCTCTCTCATATTCCATTCCCCTCTGCAAAATGGTGCCCATGGGGACTGTATACCAGGGCACCGAGCTCAGCTGGAACAAATTTCCCAGAAATTCCTTCCTAAATGCTTCTAGGGTCAAGTTGGTCCAGAGGCATCTGCATGACATGCAGAAGGCAGAAGGGAAGCGGAAGCCATCAGTCCCTAAAGTTCACGTAGGGCACAAACACTGCTGCAGCTTGAGTGTGTTTACACCAACCCACAGGTTCACCATGACAGAAGGGAGGGAGGCAGTCAGGCCAACCTCTCCTGCTGCCCCACACAACCCATCCTGTAGCTGCCCCAGGTCCCAAGCCAGGCCTGCAAACAGCTTTGTGGCACATGGTACCAGCTTCTTCTGTAGGTCGCCCATATCTGGGAGGCTGTGGCTTCAGATATGACTCCAAGCTGTCTTCACAGACACCAGTTTGGGCCTGCACCTCTCTCCCGAGGTCCAATTCTTTCCTGACTGCATCCTCCATGACTTCTGGCCCAACACCACAGGCAGATGTATAGCTGTACATGGGGGTCACCACTAGCAACTGCACCCGTATAAAGTCTCGCTCCTGCAGCAAGCCCTTTATCTTGTGTCACTGATAGTGTTTCCAACATCTAACTTCATAAGGGTGTTTCAAGGGGCTTAGCAGGGCTGGGCACAAAGAAATGCCGTATTAGTATTTCAGAGCTACATTTTTTCAGTGTACAGAAACACTGTGCAAAACACAGTTTTGTTTTGTTTTGTTTTATGTGGTTCATTCTATCAGACACCCTCTGCTCCCAGGTCCAGCTCTGAAGGAACAATTGCCTTCCCCTCTGGAAGAACAGAGACTAAGACCATCTCTGAGTCTTACCGGAGCTGAAGAGTGTGGCTCACTATTGCTGATCTGCCCCCAAATAAATACATACATACATACAGCAGGCAAGCAACCCTGCAGAGGAGGCCAGAAAGGGCTTGGGCTGGAACACACCTGCAGAGCCGCTCCCCACACACTAGCTTTCAACATCCCAGCAGCACAGTAGCGCTGAGGACTACACAGTAGTGCTGGAGTCCCAAAGCCTGGGGACTCTCCTGGGGCAAGTAGTCCTCTCTCCAAACTGCCTCATCCACAGCTAACATGAGTGTCATGTCAAGGAGATGGGGTCATCAGCCTGATCAGGACACTAGTCCCTGCTAGTTAGGGACTTCTGTGTGGAACCCCTAACTCCTGACGTGATGGTATCTGGAGATGGTGTTTTGAGGATAGTAACAGGACTCTCATAACAGGATTAGTGCCCTTATCAGAAGAAAACATAAGAAATTTCTCTCTCTCCCTTTCCTTCCTTTCCAGCCACACCTACCAAGGAAGGGCCATATGTAACCAAGCAAAGATTTTTCACCAAATACTGTGATGCCATCTTGATATTGGGCTTCCAGTCTCCAGAACTGAGAGGAATAAATTGGTGTTGTTTAAATTACCTGGTTGATGGCATTTTTTTATGGCAGCACAAGCTAAGATAGTCTCCAAGCTTGAAAAAGAAAGCATCTCTGAAAAGATACCTTGCTGAAAGTCAGGCATGCAGCAGGGCATGGCTAATCCTGGGAAACTGCAAGCAGTTCAAGTCTGCACTTCAGGAGATGCTTTCAATGTGCAGCCACACCTGCCACCTCAGTCCTCATAGAAATGCTGCACAGGAATCTCACAGATGCAGAAACAGACACAGCAAGCTCAATGACTTGCTCGAGATCACTCAGCTAGGGGCCGGGCCTGGAGTGATTCCCAGGTGTAAACTCTACCAGAGTGCTTCATCTATGGCCTTATAATCTCACCATGTCCTGAAAACCAGGGACTGCATGAGGACAGGTACACTGTTCCTTGTTAGGTATTCAGTTACCAGTACTCAGTCTCTATAATTTCTCACAGTTGAATCTTCATGACATAATAGAAGACTAGAGCAAAAATTCTTTTTTT